AGGCAGCCAATCATTCCCCATTGTGAAGCCGGGTCTCTGCTAGGAGCCGCTCCTAGCTGGTAAATTGTAATGAATTATGCTCAGTCCCTGGTTATTCCTGTATCACCCTGTGATTAATGGGCTGACCCTTCGTGTTAGAGAGTGGAAGTGTCACATCCCATCTGGTGGACTGTCACAGCTGTGCGAATTTCTCCCCTCCGGATCGGCTGTTGCTACACACCTGCACGGAGGGAGAGCAGCATCTGCAACCTTGTGTGCTCCAGACTCCTCCACCCCCAAGGAGCACAGCAGTTTATATGGGGGAGAGGGGAGAAGCCCTGGGTGGTTCGAGTGGGCAGCAGTCGTAGCAGCAGGAAGAGCGGTCTGTGATAAAGACCCATGCAGGGGAAAGACGGCCGAGTGAGCTGGGCATTTGGATCGCCAGGGGACTGTCAAAGGAGACGCTGTGGAGTCGTCAGGCCCAAAACATGGGGCACCTGGGCTGTTTGAAAAGGGTTTTGGTGAAGTGGTTGGAGCAAGGGGGGCTGGGAGTTGGGAGGTCAGAGTTTGAGGCCAGACGCCACCACTGACTGGGGTGAGCCATTGAAACGGTGTTGGACCAAACACAGCAAACTACTTCCCTCAGAGCTCCCTGGGGATTGTGTTCATGTCAGCAATGGATTGGTCTCCTGGCCTGGATCCTCCAAGGTATTTAAGCACCTAACTCCCATCGATTTCAGTTGGGGTTAGACACTGAAATACCTTTGAGACCTGGGCCTCTACGCCTTTTAGATTCCTTCAGTGAAGACCATTTTCGACAGTTTCCCATGGCACCCAGGACCTCAAGTGCTACAGCACTGGGCTGGATAATGCTTGGGACCCAGAGCGGGGAACTAGCTGGAAACAGAAGGGGAAACCCGCAACAGATCGCCAGGGAATCTGACCAGCTTCACCGTCCAAGCGGAGTTAAACAAAGAGCATAAAAGGTGGCATTAAAATGCCCCTGTTTCCAATGTCTCTTTGCTTTAATAAGCAACACGTGTTAATCTTGCCTTGCAGTGGCCAGCATTAAAAAGCCCGCTAGATAAGTTACCGTGCGGTAGTGTCCGAGGATGAGCTGAATGTCTTTATTCTTAGTCAAGTAAAATACCTGCAAGTTTTCAGACGCCGCAGCATGATTGCTGCTGACTTCTTAACGGCGATCGTTGTATGCGAAGCAGTTTTTTCCTCAGCACTTATGTATCTTTGAAGCTGGTTTGGGGGTCATTTGTTTTCCCTTTTTGATCGGCTCAATTTCTCTTTACCTCCTCAGAGCAGCACAGCTTAAAATAATCCACATCGGGGGGTGCTGATATATTCTAGTGGGGCTGCTGGAAAAGGAATTTAACTGTCTTAATTTATATTAACTTTCCTAGCGAGGCCTGGGTTGTGTGCTGAGTTAATAAACACTGGAGAGTTCCCCTCTGAAGGGGCCTATATTCAAGAGGGACTGAGGATTTTGGGGCCCAGTTGAGACACCTTTAAAAGGGCCTGATTTCTGGAAATTGCCGAGCCTCCACACCATGAAAATCAGGTGTCTCACGGAGGGAATCCAAAATCACTAGTCACTGGTGAAAGTGTAGGCAGAAGTCTTCTGTTGCTGGGCAACTTTTGGCTTAATCAGCTGTGTCACTGAGATTCCACCACCAGAATAGTGTCTGGTCACCTTTGCCTAAGAAGCAATGGTAAGAGAGGGCCTGGTGTACTCAGGGTTAGGCAGCTGTGGTTACAGTCGGGTGTGGGGATTTTCTCTCTCTTGCTGGAAGAAAGCAGCAGCAAGCGGGCTTGGAGAAGGACAACGTTTGCCCCAATGGGAATGTTGTGAGGCATAACAAAACACTGCCCTGGCCCTTTAAAAAAAAAATCTCTCCTCTGGGTCTAGAAGGGAGGGCATTTTTGTTCAGGGTCTCAATGTTATTCAATGGAATTCACCCTGCAGGGTAGGAAATGATGCTTTTTAAAGGGACAGACCTTGTGCACAGTAGTAGGAAGGGTTAACCATCTTGTTTCTGCTCTGCTTCTTTGCTCTCTATTTATTTCCCCTCAGTCCCATGTTGATATGTCTTGATAGAGACAGAAACATCTTTAATACTATTACAGCTCCAAAGGCATTTCTGTTGTTTTTTTTTCAGATTTTTTTTTTTAATAGCATGTATTTCTGGACAAGATAAAGAAAATGCATCGGATCGCTTAACTGCTGTGCTTAAAGAACAACTGGATAAAGCTTCCCCAGTTGAACATTAGAGAGAGATAAGGGCAAAGATTTTCATTATGTTGAAGTGGCTCTGAAAATAGGTATGTGTCTGCCAAGGGCTAGTTTGGAGACGCTAGGTGGATGGATTGATAGATGAAGGTTGGGGGATGGATGGTTAAATAAATGGATGGAGGGATATATGTGTGTAGATGGTTACATTAGGCAGGTAGATTGGATGAATACACGTTCAGGGGATAAGATAAATGGGAGTGGAGACTAATGGGTGTGCATGATGGCTGGTGAGTGGCTAGATGATGTAGAAATAAATAGTTAGATGAATCATTGATGAGTAGGCAAGTGAATAGATGGAGTGTGGCAGGGATAAATTGGGGGCTTTCTAAGTGGGTGCTGATAGATGGGTGGGTGGTTAACTTGTTGGATGGGGAAAGAGAGAAATAAGAGAGTGAGTGAAGAAGTGAGGAATTGGAGGATTGACAGATATGGATGAAAGCAGGATGGTTAGCTAGTAAGATAATTATAGAGGGACGCTGATAGAAAGGGCTTTCAGGCAACTGAGATCTCAACAGTTCATTTAACATGCTCTTCTGGTTGGCGGATAGCTGTCATATTTTGGTTCTGACCCTGTATCTGTCTCGAAGAGCAGGCCTGGCTTTTGCATACAAGCACCGCCCTCCATATTTGTATACGGTGCCTCTTCACCTCTCTGGCTGCTGGGCCAGTTTATTTACCAACCTCATCTCATCTCTGCGAGGTGTGGTCACCATTGGAACTCGTGGTTGCTCCAGTAGCCAGGCCTGACAGGTGCAGGCAGGAGAATGGAAGAAGGAGCAGTGGGGATCAGGACAGAGTCTGAAGGTGGAGGGGAGAGGGAAGCTTAGAGTACCAGTCACAAGAGCCTTAAGTACCAGTGCTGCTATGAATACCAGGTGAAATGAACCCGCGTGCAGACGGGACCAATACAATGTCTATGTATGGCTTAAGGAGCACGCCTAGGCCTTGTGCTGGTTATACGCACAAAGCTCCCATTGAGGAAAGTGCTTAAGCTTGTGCAGCAAAGCACTTACGCACATGTTTAATTTCAAGCATATGCTGAAGTCCTTTTGACCTCAACCTAAGCATGTGTTTTACCAAATAGGGACGCTTTTCCAAATTAAGGGCCAGGTTGAATTTCACCACTGGCGGGGACCTCTCCATTACTAGAATCCCGCGTGGAGTCCAATACAGTAGGGCTGTGTGGGCGGAGTCCCAAATAACCCCTCCCCCCAGTACAAATTTCTTCAAACTTTATTGATACACTGCACAATCACAACCATCTCTTATTCTTTCTGAATTAGAAAAGGTTACAACTACAATGTAACATGCACAAAATTCAGGTAGTATATTCACCCTTTTTAATACAATTATTGACGGAAAATCAAGACTTGACTTCATTGCTTTAAGAAATAATAATCAAATGAAAGTAACCCTAGAAGGCTGACAGGAAAAATAAAGTTTGCTTTTTTGTAACAATGTGATGGTTTGTTTGTTTGATTTTCTTTAAAGCGTTTGAATACAGAAAATTATTTATTTTTGTTTTTTTAGGATAATTGTGAGTAAAATGTGCACAACCATAGCCTTTTACACAGCTAGTAGAACTGCACCATTGATAAGTCATAGAATTTTTTAAACCTAGCAAAGAGAAGGACTCTGAACTGGACAGTTAACGGTTTCATACACCCAACATGTTCCTCACAACTGCACTTTACGTGTCACAAGAAACTTGAATGCTTAAAAAAAAAATGTTCCCTGCTCGCCATTCTTTTTAGTTTCCTCTGCCAAAAAGAACTAACCGTGTGGAGCAGAGGGGACTAGGTTAGAGGTTTTCCTGGTCTTGATGCTAACCACCCATGGTTGCAGGAAGAATTCAGTCTTGAAGCCGTGTCTCTTGGAGAGTCTAAAGGATCCCTTTAAAGTAATGCAGAGATCTGGGCATGTGGTTGCCATCTTCCAAAAAGGTCTGATCAACTCCATTTCGCTTAGCCTTGGACCCAGCATGTTCAATATCTGAAGGACAACTTACGCTGATTAAATTTGGCCTTAGTACCAAAGTATTGACTATGTGAAGGGCAACGTGCATTGGTTGACTATCACGTGGCCTCTGTTCCAAAGCATTGACTACTGAAAAGACAATGTATCTTGGTTAGCTATTTTCTGGCACACCTTTTAACTGCAATATTTTGTTTTGTTTTTCTCCCGTAAGGGACGAATAGACTCTGTTTCCTTTTGAATAGGATTTTTTCCATCTTAGCGTTATTTGGAAACCCTTTTCTCTGATATACCGCCCACCTCTTAGAAAGGCGTCCTGTGGCTACTTAAACGTTCTGGTCTTTGGGGGAGGGAAAATTGCACTTGAAGGTTTTCAAAACTAGGGCTTTGCAGAAACGAAAACCCTCTTGCTGTCGGTGGGGAATGAAGAGGAGAGGAAAATCACATGTTTTTGCCCCAAATTAAAACATTTTTTCAGCTTCACCTTGTGGCTGCTGTTTATTTTTTCCCTGGTTTCCAGAGATAAGAAACCTGGAGTCACATTCAGGGAAATCATTGGTTTTTGTTGTTGTTGTTGCTTTTCCCTTTGATGGGGGAAAAAAAATCTCACTCCTTGTTAAGCGTCACTTGGTATTTTTCATGCAGCTCCACTTGGGACCACCCAGGGTGTAAACATCTTAGAATTTTTCCAGGTGAATCATCTGCAGCAATTACTTTTGTGTGTGTGGTGGTTTTTTTTTTCTCTATTGCATGGTTTAACCGATTTATTTTAAGTCAATGTATTGCCCTGAAACAGGACCTTTCTATGACTTTCTGTGCTCTGACTTGCTACCCACCTAGCCCATAACGTCGTCCTCACATGAAACTTGTGCAGAGAGATGCGGCGTCTGGGATACAGAGTTGAGAGCCTAGAGCTTCCTTGCTGCATTGCGAATGTGAACATTTTGCCAAAGCTTCGGTTAAATTTGCAGGGCACTTGAGATGCTGAAGTGAAAACATTTTGTCTGCCCTTGCCCAAGAGAACGCTGTACCACAGCAACAGGACATGGAGACCTGATTCTTACATTGGTGGCATTTCTCCCGAACACCGGGGAAAAAATAGGCTTGCAAACAACTATGTATCAGGCACTTAATGTTTACCACCAGCACTTCAGTTCACATGACCTTGGAAGTCATGAAAGATATGAATGCCCCAGTGGGCTTTGAAATGTTGTTTTGTTTGGGGTCTTTTATTCCTTCCACTAGATTCCACTTCGTACCTCTCTCTTCTTAATAGCAGTATGCGTGTCTGTGTGGCTCATCAAGTTATTGTCTCTCTGATGATGATAGCAGGCAGGAAGAGAATAGGCATCTAGGTAGGAGTAGCTACACTAGTTGACCCTTCTGAGAGACCACTTCTTCAGGTTCTCTCCAGCAGCTCTCCTCCCTCAGCCTCAATAGAGTTATGACATGATTAAGCATGATTAAAACTCTCTGTTTGATGCCCTGCTTTGACAGTTAAAGGCATCTGCTGCTATTTTTGGTATTCATACAGCTACAACATTTTTCAGTACTAATTCATAGATTTGTAAGGGACTGTTAGATCATCTAGTCTATCCTCCTGTATGACACAGACCTTAGATTACACCCAATGATCCCAGCTGCTAGCCTGTAACTTGTGGTTGAACTAGATATAAATGTGAAGACTTTTTGTTTTTAGTTCTTTACCAGCATTCCACCTAATAAACCAATGGAGCCAGCGTGTGTATCTGGGGTTTAAAATAATAATACACCTTTGTATGTCTTTAACAATGAACGAGGTTCCATGTGGACCTGTTGCAGGAGGCTTCTTGCACAGATTAAATCAACGTGCAACAGCCTCATGATGTTTTTTATCCAGATGAAAGAGTGGGAGGGCGCTGTTAGATTTTTTTTCAGAGCAGTAAAACTGGTGGTGGTGGTGGTGGTGGTGAAATCCAGGCATGTTGCTCTTCATACTCAAACCTTCCCTCTTGGAAGGAAAAATAAATGGGAAAGCAAGCGTATACATTCAAGAACTCGACTGTGCTGGATATTTTTTTCATATGCATGAACTCAAAAGAATATCCCCCTCCATTTTGTGAATATACTGCCCAAATGTTTAGTCTTGTATAAGTTTTTTTTTCCAGACTTCTTTTTAACCATTCATGGTTTACATTTATTGACAGATTTGATGAGGCACATCCTTGATCTTCCGATTAAAACACCTAGAGCCTACCGGAAACCAGCACAAGTCACTCCCTCTCCGCGAGTTCATCTTTGCGTCCCTGACACGTGGCTGTCAGCAGCTCAGTATGGTAGGCCGTATGCTTCCTTACTGCATTTCTTTGCTTACTGCGTTCAGACCACCACGCCTGGCACCATTGGTAGTGCCTGCAGTCAGTCAGATGGCCACAAAAACAAAACAATCAACAACAACAAAAATAACCAAATGAATCAATGTCTCCTTTTACTTCCTACCTGGGAAATAGTGTCTATGTCTCGGGGGATCAGAAAAAGCAAAGAAGTTTCTACTTGGCAGGTCTTTGTAAGAGCCACTTGATTCACTCTAGTGATCCAGGTCGTGCTGTGCAGCCCAATCCGGTCTGGGGCGTTGATTGAATTGACTGTCATGCAGGCTGCAGTTTGGTCTGGGAATGCCGCAGTCCTCTCGCCCTGTCAGGCCTTAGCAGTGACCCAGAAAGCTAGTAGTATTTTTAATTTAAAAAAAAAAAAGGTACATTCAAAGACATTTAAGCAATGCAGATTCCTCCCTTACCGCTGTTAGGCTTTCAAGAAAGTGACATGTCTCATTCGAATAAGGCCTAAACCGAACCAAGGAACTTGGGGGGAAGAATCAATTGAATCTTTCAAAATAAACATCCATAGTCTAAAAAATAAAAGCTCTGGTGCTGCTGTTCCATTTTGGAGACAGCTGCCTGAAATTCCCTCTCTAAAACGCTTCTACGGAAGCAGCTGAGAAACAGGAAACCATGTGAATGTAGGTTTGTGGGAGGTTGTATTTTTTTTCCTCTTCCCTTCCTCTTTCCCATCTGTTTTCTGTGTTGAGCTAATCAAGTGCTTGGAAATTAAGTCAGTTATTCAAGTACCCTTTGCTCATAAGAGGTTCCCAAACAAATACAAGAGTGATGTCAACACACTAGCAAAATAATTGGCCTCCGTCGGCTTCTGACTGAATGGATTCCGAACAGAGCAAATGAGGATCGGGGCTGGGAAAGGGAGTGAGCATAGAAGTGTTGGCCAGATTGCGTTTGGCTCTCCCAGGATGGGTGGTGAAGGTGTTGTTTGGAATTGCCATAAATAATGGATAATTAGGACTTTTCTTAAAGAAAACTGGATGCATCCCCGTTGGAGAACAGCAGTACAAGCACCTGTTAGCAGATATAAAACATTGGTTCTTAAAGGCAAAAGATTATAACAGCATTGGGGTAGAGTGAGGGGTGCTGCTTACTTTAAAAATAAGAGTATTTATTTTGGGGAGGTAGGAGAAAACAGATCTCTGACTATTTTTTTTTTGCAGGGGGGGGAACTAAGTGAAGGATTGCTACTGCATTATCGTGTTTTGAATTGTCAGAGACATGCCCAAATGGCCAAATATTGCTTAGTTTTATGGCCTGTAGTTACGTTCTACCACACGTATAAATGTAATATTGTGAAATTTCTCAATATCCTCCGCCGTAACAGGTGGATGAACAGACAAAATAGAAAGAAAACTAAATGGATGGAGGGAGTGGGATAGAAACTTGGCTAGATAAATAGGTGACTCAATAGAGATGATTACGCTGATGGATGGATGAAGAGCAGAGAAGGAGAGATTTGGATAGAAGCACCGATAATTACATTGATAAATTGATAAATACAGTAAAGAGATGGCGAGATAGAAAGCCAGATGGATAGCTAATTAGATGGATGGGTGAATAGGATAGATGGATGGATAGAATGGCTCCGTGATTACTTTGATGGCTGGGGAGATGGATGACTCACCATTTTGTCTATTTATCTGTTTGCATTAGCCACTCAGCCATCAGTTTTAGCAAGAGGGGAGTACAGTGTCCCCTAGCTTTTCCCTTTCTGCACTCCAAGGGATCTCAAATCCTTTGTCAGTGTCCAAATGCACAATCACTATGGCCCATTCACAGCCGCCACTTACTGCAGTTGTTGCCGAGAGCCCAGGTGCTGGCGGGGGGTGGGTGGGTGGGTGGATTTATTAAAACATCCCTCCAGATGGAGGCCAGGTGAAGCCCAAGTGTAATAGGACACTTATCAACATGAACAGGTATGTACAGTGTAACAAGTAGAAAGAACAATCCTTTTGCTTAAGAGACACAGAGATAATAGGACACTTTGACTCATTTTGACTTCCGCTGTGTGTCGTCCCTCAAACCAAGACACGTCTCCGGGGGCAATTTGAACTGGTTCGGCGGAGACACGCTTAACTTTAGGATAGGTTTATAAATAGGGTTGAGGGCAGGGCCGGGGAAGAAGAAATTGATTCGCTTGGCGAAATGCCCATGACTTATCCCCCAACAGGCGGTGGGAACCCTTTTCCCCTCCCCCTCTCCCTTCCCCCCTGGCAGTACGTTCAAGTGGTAAAACTGGGTGTTGCCCCCGCAGTGTAGAGAGTAAAGTCTGTGGTGTGGGAGAAGCCAGGTGTCGCCTCCGAGGACCCTTTGCTTTCTTATCAAAACTTGATGAGAAAGTGAGCGAGGAGAGTGCCCGATAGCCAGAGGCAAGCCATTGCTCTGGAAGCCGCGTTGCTGCCGTCATGTACTGCTCCGGGGCCTGGACAAGGGAGAGAGAGAGAGAGAAAGGTTTGTTATTACCAGTTGGAGGGAGAAGGAAATCAACCGGTCCATTGACTTCGAGGCGAGATGGGTCCCAGAGGGAAGCCCTGAACTTTGGGGAAGTCTAGCTCTGAGGTCCATGGCTCAGGCTTATCTCAGCTAAAAACACAGCAGGTCTTTCCTCCCTGCCTTTGTCCAAAGCCAGAGTTTCCTTTCTCTCACTCATTGCTTGCAGCCCCACTAAGCCAGGGTTTGCTGGGGCGGGGGGATCCTCAACCATTGCTTTCAGTCCACAAACCACTGCAGGGGGAAAAGAATCACTCCTAGTCAGCCAGCTCCTCCATCCTCCTCCTCAGGTCCCCAAAGGCCTCACTGCGCTGCCCACCGGAAGGGATGCTGTTGTGACCCATCACAAATTGTGGCACAATTTGAGGACCTGTTTGCACTAGGCAGAGTGAGTGATCTCCATCCATGAGTTAGCTCCCCCACTGCATCATGTGGCTGCCTAGACAGATCCTCCATCCTCTATGTGACTCTTTGGGGCTCTTTTCTGTTCCACCCTATTCTGCATAGGTTCTTACACGGAGTGACTTCGGCTTGACCCCGATTAGGGAAAATTGAAGGTGGAAACAAAATCTGAGAGTCCCAGTCGAACTCCACTCCCACTCCACTAATGCCATACAGCTCTTGCGTCCTAATTACCAGGCACTGGGATTTTCGAAGCTGCCTAAGGGAGTTGGGCACCCAACTCCCAAGGAAATTCTTTCCCATTGGGCTCCTTCTAGAACTCCCGGAGAGAATCATTACTTGGAACTACACTGGACTAAATTGTCAGGGAGGTTCAAACAAAATGGCTATTCATAATGAGATCAGATAAATATATTGCCATTGGAGACCCCATCCCTCGACTCCGATTCAAAATATCCCTTTGCTTTTCCACAGGACTTTCCCTCCTGAGGAAATGGCCCCCGGACATCCATCAGATTGTTTTCCTTTAAGTGAATTTTAGTGATCAGAAAAGGCTCTGGACTATTTAAATACTGGATAGTGGACCAAGAAAGGTGTAGGCCTGGCCGCTGAAGAGAAAGCAGAGCAGAGAGAATTCAACGCAGGCTTCCCACCCGAGCTCCCTTGCACCTTAATTTTAAATCGGAAAGCCAGCTCTTGGCATCAGCGATCCCATTCCGCCCTTAGCTTCGGTGCTGTGCTACCACGAGGTCCAGGCAGTACAGTTGTGGTGGGGAACAAACATGAACTGAGCTAGTGTATTTCACATAAGCCTCCTAGCCATTCCTCAGGTTGCTACCAACGGGGACTGGATTTGAGCTGATAAGCAAGAGGCATTGCACGTTACACTCGCCACGGACATGTAGCTACTGGCAGGATGGAAGGTGATGCCTGTTACCAATCTGGTAGCACTGTAGAGTCAGGGCAAGGTTGAAATGTCACGGGGAAGTCATGATGACACAGGCTCCCACTGGTGGGGGCTAGGGTCAGGAACAGTGAGATCAAGGGCTGGAATGGCCCCTGCATGGATGATTCTCGAGTAGGAGCCAGAGCTGCGGCGTTTGGACCCGCCCCGTTCTTACGGCAGGGGAAAGGCTCGTAGCAGTCCCAAGAACTGCCCCCGTCGTCAGAGCCGAGTCCTCGGGACTCCCTCCCAACCCCTGCTCCCAGGGTATCCCAACACCCCTCCAGCGCAGTCTCATCACAGTGAGGAGAACTCGGTGCACTGCTGTTGGAATCCATATTGACCTGGGCCAGGAGTCCCTACAGGGCACAAGGGCTGGTTGTTTCTAAAGAGCCGTCATCCCCTGCTTTGCCCCATCCCCCTCTGCAGAGCCTGATCCCCATGGAGGATTCCTGGAGGGGCTTCCTTCGAGTCAGAGAGCTAGCGACTCCCTCTTCCATGCTTCCCTCCCCTCCCGGGAGGGAGCATTTGGCCCAAAGGACCTCATTGTATATGCAATAGGGAGGGGAAAGGCAGGGAGGAAGAGGAGTTCCTCTCGGGGAACATTGTGAAGTTGTTGATAGGTGGCACTGCCTGACCCTAGAGATAAGAAATAGCCGCCTCCCCGTCTCCAGCTTGCATGCCCCGTGCAGACCATGGGGGGCCATGCTGCAGGCACTGTCCTATGCAGCATGGTCCACTGGTGTCGTCCTATAGCCTACATCTGTCGGTGATGGTGTGGTAAAGACACTACTAGCCTTAGGACCAGGGGAACCAGACTGTAAGTGACATGGCTTTCACTGGCTTTGTTCCATTTAGGTCCTGTAAGTAAGAGTGAGTTTAATCGTCTTTGCTGAGTCCCTGCTTGACACCTCCCACAAAACCCCCACACTAGATCCCAGGATTGGCATAGCAAGGAGGGGGCTGCGGGTCAGGATGAAGGTGCCTCCGCAGAGCTGCGTGGGAAAGTAGGGACCAGGGTTGGGGTGTGTTAGCCGAGAGATGTGGGAAAGCCCAGGGCGGGAATAGTGGGGGCGGCGGCAAATCAGAACTGAGGTGCGTTGTCAGAGCTGCGTAAAGAGAGCTTAAGTAGAGAGCCTGCGGTTGCCATCAGTCTGTGGGTTTGAGCCGCACCACAATCAAGCTGCCTCAAGCGTTGGCATATATAAAAAAGCCAAAACCCTGCAGCCTGCTCCACGGTGCTTTGCAAGTTAGCATAACTGCTCTGCATCCCTGTACGTGCTTTCTCCGGAGCACCACATTGCTGCACAAAGAATCTGACCCCGCTTTACCCCAACAAAACTCCATAGACCGCACTGCCTCTGGTAGGATCATTTGCTCACAGTTCCAGAATATATATCTATGTATTTTGCACAGCTTTCCAAAAGTTGTGGATTTAGGATAGAATCGGAGCAGAAAGCAGCTCTCTCTCCCAACAGATCGTCCCCCCACTGCACCCCCAGTGGAATTGCTAGAGACTAAAGACGCCAGGAAAGTGTCGTGCTGTTTGATTAATTAATCACAATTTTAGAGTAACCCTGATTGACTGGAGCCATGGAAAAGAAACAGCTGTGCCTAACTCCTCCCATCTGGAGCTCTTTATGCTGTAACTGCTCTTAAACGCTCTACACTCTTGTAGCTCTGTTCTCTCGTGGGCTCTGTTTCCCCCCCGTACATGAAAAGACAGATCTCAGTTGTTATTTAACTAGCCTAATGGTACTAGCCTAATTAAAAATTGATAACTACCAAGGCACGCGGGCAGACTGCGAACCGACAACTACCGCAAGCGGGCCCTGCTCATTTGAATGGCATTCCTCTTCATACTGGGGGATATTGTCAGTAACGATCCGTTGATTTTACTTTCTCCCTTCGAAACCCAATTTCAAACAGGCAGGGCTCCTAGCCCAGGACTTAAGCCATTCGCTTGAGAGGTAAGAGATCAAAGTTCAAATCCCTTTTCAGCAAGCAGACAGGGGATTCAAACCAGCACATCCCACTGGGAGTACCCAAACCACTAGCCTGCAGAGGGCTCTCATTTCTTTGTCCCTTTTGGGCCAGTTAATATGTAATTAAAGTGGAATAGCTTCAACAGGCAAGAGTGAGGGAGCCCCCAATCGTGGTACCCCCAAGGTTAGGGCCTAAACCTAGGCTGCCTGAGATGCCTGTTCAAACCCGCTTTTAGCAGGCAGAGGGGGAATTTGTACCCACATCGCCCTCAGCCCACATGAGTATCCTAACCCCTGGATAGACCGGGAGTGTAGGAGACCCTTCTTTAAAGGCCTTTTCCTCACCAGACAGAGGGTGAAACTGAAACAGGATCCCTCACGTCACAGGTGAAGACCCTAATGGTCTAAAGGTTACACCGGGGCCTCCCAACTCCTTCCCCCTCTGCCCTCAGCTGTTTTGCGGGGTGTTAGGCCAGTACCTCACAATCTCATAAGAAACGGTTGGGGCACCGAAGTCTCCTGTCTCCAGGAGAGGGGGTTTCTGGCAGAGATAGGTGCTGAATTCCCTGAAAGAGGCAGGGCTTAGCAGAACCTCTCTCATCGTTGTCTCCCAGTGGCTGTCTCAGGCAGCTCCCTGCTGGCTTTTATGGATCTCGTTCTTAGGTACCTGACTCTCCCTTTTCATTGAAGAGGGAGCCTAAGTGCTCAATTCAAGCTTTGGGAATCTCCTTGTTCCAATTATTTTTCTAGGCATCTAAAAGGCAGGGCTGGCACTGCTGATATTGCCACATCTAAGTCCTTCTGTGGATCTGGGTCGCAGTCCTGAGATAGAGAGGAACTGAGACTGGATATACTTGGTCCATTTTATAGGCAGGCAGCGCTGTGACTAAGGGAGCTGAGATTGCAGAGGAATCACAGAATCATAGAAGATCAGGGTTGGAAGGGACCTCAGGAGGTCATCTAGTCCAACCCCCTGCTCAAAGCAGGATCAATTCCCAACTAAATCATCCCAGCCAGGGCTTTGTCAAGCCTGACCTTAAAAACCTCTAAGGAAGGAGATTCCACCACCTCCCTAGGTAATCCATT